CGTACAAAACGTAAAGGCACAAACATTAACACAAAAGCATAAACACAAACAAGAAAATAACACGTAACGGCCCAGGCCTATTGTGGCTTGGAGGAGACAGCCAAGGCAAACCAGACAACGACATAGGGCGATTTAATGGCTAAGATGACCAGGTAGTTGGCAACCCCTTTTTCCTTGTGAAATTTTGAAGGATAGAAAAGTTAATTTGATTTAGGCGAGTGACTGTCCAAGTAAAGAGAAATCGAAGTGATGTGTCTGACAAGATAACTGTCCGCAGATAGATACATGCAGATATCTACTTATATGTCTATTTTTATTTGCCTATATCTTGTGTCTACTGGGCTATATATATATATATATATATATTATATATATATTATATATATATTATAATAATAATTATATATATATATATATAATGTAATGTATGAATGGAATGTTTATATATCCTACAATATATAATATATACTATTATGCGAAGTGAATCGTTGTAATATTTTGGTGTGTGCCGCTTAGTATAGCCGACTAGTCTCTCTCGTTGCCTATTATAACCAACATATTACACCTAAAAATAGCGTGTGTAAGGGATAGTCTCTTAAGCCAAATTTTATACACGTGTGTATAATTATGACTAATCCTACTATAGCCCATATAGATTGTAAATATTGATTATATACATACAAAAGATGAATCTTATACCCTCTCATCTTAGATGTATTATATCCTATAATATATATTACTTTTCATACTAGTGTTGTGCCTTGTGTGTAGTGCGTGCTCGGTTTACTCTCCCTCTTTCCCCTGGTGTGTGTCCTGCTTGCTTGCCCGCTTGTGTGTTGCTATCACCTATTATGTACATTATACATATACTATATATATTCATATATACAACTCATATATATATATATATACATCTTCTTATACATAACCTTATATATATATATATGTATATATATGTTTCATATATATGTCCTTATATTATATACTAATCTTTAAATATATATAATTATAATAATTATAATTATCAATGGTGTGGGACCCTTTTACGTGTGTGTGTGGGTGTGTGGGTATCGAGGAAAGGTGGTGTTTTGTGGGTGTGTTGTTTCTGCACTCTTCTCATCTGTGGTGTGGATAGTGTGTTGGTGTGTAGTGTCATCGCTGCGCTTTTCTTCTTCCGTCACACTGCGTTGTTTTGTGTTGTGTTGGGCGTCTCTTGTTGTTGTGGGCAGATGACTTGGGGTGGTGGGGTGTGGTGGGGTAGGGACAAACACACAACACACAAAAAAACACACAACACACACCATATACTTGTTTCTAATATGATATCAAATAGTGTTCTTTTACGTCGCAGCTGTTGTATGTCTCTTTCCTTTTTCTTTACCTGTATATGTCTACATCTTCCCTTATTAGAAGAATTTCTAGTAAGGCAGAGAGAGAACATATATGTATTTATTTTATATGTAGATTATTTTTCTATATACATATAATTCCTATCTCTATAATATAAGTGTATAGTATATTGAACCTGTTTGGGCTCTGGCATCAGACGATTATGCACTATGGTTAGCAGCCGATGGCAGAGCCCATAAAAAGAACATAACAGACTGTATGTTCACTAATAGCAATCGACCCGAACGCAGACAGTATGATAGACCTCGCGTCTCTCTTTTCTTATGCTCTACTCTTGCCCCCATTGCCTCCTGGGATGCGTTCATCAATGGGTCTCTGTGGGAGCAGGCAGGACACACACTTTACCACACGGTCCACTCCCGAGAGAACCCAAAACTGACCAGTGCAGTAAAAGTGTATATAATATGGGAGAGGGAATTATCTCTCTAAGCCCAGCAAGTAAGGCCAGGGCTGTGGGTCCCCGGATTGCGGACCGCCTGTGACCCGAAAACTGGGGAGCCGAGGTTACTCGTCCCATCCATGTCCTGGTGGCCGCCAACCTAGCATGAGGCATGTGGGGAAAGCCCATGGGACCTCCGGATGTGGATTAGGGGACCTGCGGCCAACCACCCCTAACTTTATGGGGCATTGTAGGCAGGGATGGCAGACGTGTGGTGTGGACCCGGAGTGATTACCGAGGCTTAACCTCATAGGAGGGGACAGGACAAGGGTTTTGAGCTCGGAATGTCTGAATTTCTTATTGCAAGTGGACATGGTATCATATACTTATGATCAGTTGTCACATAGTGGATTTTCACTGGATTATGGGATATTATATTTATATATATTAATGATAGGATACTATATATATTGATTTAGGCAGTGAGAGTGTGAAGTGGACTGCTCTCTTACAATAGATGTACAGAGAGTTCTATGGCTAGTTAGTCACATACTCTAGTGAGTTATGAAGGTGGCTTACATCCTATTAATTAACTGCAAGGACCACTCAAGTATAATATACTGAGTTCAACACGGTCATCAGGGAGTTAAGTCACAATAGCCTCGATCTCCATACAAAAACTCCAAGCCCTTTGGTATTATGGAGTAAAAAGTTAACTCCAGGTCTCACGTATACAGTGACTGATATATAATGGTATTATATATTATTTAACGACTATTGGAAAGCGCTATGCATTTGGTTTCATGTTCATTTTCCTGTGACTCACACGCTTACCTAACCGGATGAGAGTTATTAGTATATAAAACTCAAACTCATAGTGTAATAAGAGTATAGTTTTACTCAGATTAAATCTGCTCTGATTGGTCAAGCCATTGTACTTCAGAGCGTGAAGATATTCTATATTTAGTATCTAAATTATACTTTATATAATAGTAGTTATTGGCTGTTATAGATCGAAGCTGGTCATATGAGATGTCGTCTGTCCCATTTATGTTATGGTGAAGCGTTAGCTGCCACAGCCAATTAATATCTTACTATTTTCTCAAGGGACTTAGCATATAGGTTCCTGAAATTGTAGGTAATTATTCTGGCACTTGCGTTAAAAGTATAGCCTTTGTATACCTCTATCTAATTCGCTAATAGTCGTGTGGTGTGTGAATTGTTAGCAAGAGAGAATCTCGCGATATCCTACTTACTCCTCTGTAACACTGTAAGGGATTCGCTCAGATAGTCTGAAGTGATATGAGTAGTTATACTATGTATAAATTTTTCTGTGGTGATGTCTCACGTATTATATATATAGATTTAAACGTTGTGATGATCATCAATATTGATCACCTTATAGTTTGTTATTCATTATTGATAACAGGCGTGAAGGTAAAAATCAAGTTGTTGACCCCAGGTGAGTGTATTGTAACTGAGGCTATTTTATTGATATTTATTATGTACTGATTGACAGTATTGACAAGCTGACCACACCCGTCGCTATATTCGTGAGGAACTGCTCGTGTCAAACACTCAAATGCAGCTCAAGAATCAATTGTGAACGCCAAAGCCAAGACAAAATTTTATCTGACAGGGAATCGGGATTTGCATTATTCTCAGGTTAGCAGAACTTGGTCACTGTTGAGAAAGGACAAGAAACAGTTTGTTGGGAGTCTTGCAGAGGAGTCGAAGGCCATTTTAGTAAATGACCTTCATCCTGCCTACCAAGCCCTAAGAAAGCTGAACTCCAAGCCCTCCTTCCACAGTGTGAATGCAGTCTGATTTAGCAAATGGTCGTCCCTCGATCCTCTCAGGATCTCAGCTGCGGTGCGGGAGCGTTAGGCTGAGTATTTTGAGCAGTCAGCTAAGTTAACTAACAATTAACTTAGATGCGGGCAATGAGATTTCGTTGCCGGACCCACTCATAAGTGAGGATCCTCCCTCCCTAGCTGAAGTTAAGGTGGCGATCTCCAAACAGAAGAGTGATAGAGCAGCAGGTATCTGCGGCATCCCAGTTGAATTGTTTAAGGCTGTTGGTGAACCCATGAAACAGATGTTGCATGCTGTCCTGGCTGCCATCTGGCACTATGGTACCATTCCCCCTGACCTGTTAAAGGGTTTGGTCATCCCACTCTGGATTACACTTCACATTGCTCAGTATACCAGGAAAATTTGTCACTCACATCCTTCTGAGACGTATCACAGACCAGCTGTTGAGGTACCAGATGCCAAAGCAATCTGGATTCACTCCTGGTAAGTTTACAATAGATCGTATCCTGACACTTTGATTCGTTGTAGAGCGCCGCCGTGAGTCCGGGCATGGACTTATTGCAGGTTACATCTACCTTAAGGAAGCTTTTGATACGGTGCATTGCGAATCACTCTGGGAGATCTTGAGACTGAGAGGAATTCCAATAAAGATTATTGGGATTATTGGGCCTGAATCCCTGCCGAGCGGCTCGCCACGAGGGATCCCCATAGGTGAAAAAAAAAAAAAAAAAAAAAAAAAAAAATATATATATATATATATATATAATTTATATATATATATATATATATATATATATATATATATATATATATATATGTATGTATGTATATGTATTATATATATATATATATATATATATATATATATATATATATATATATATATTATATATATATGTATGTATGTATGCATATGTATGCTTATATATATATAATTATTATATATATATAATATATATATATATATATATATATATTATATATATATATATATATATGTATATGTATGCTATATATATATATATATATATATATATATATATTATATATATTATATATATATTATATATTATATTATATATTCATAAAACTTTGCCCTGCGTCAACTCAGTCTAGGGTTTACCCAAAGTAGTATGATCTAAAGCACCAATGGTATTTCCGTGGATAACTTGTCTCACATCATTATAAATTACTCTATTTCATCAAATATATGTAAACACTAGAAAAATGCTAACAATTATAGATTTAATGTCATACCATTAAATATAACATACAGCCATAATAATATGAAACAAAAGTATAAATGAAATGAATGAAGACGTAATGAAAATCACAATAATGTTGTTAGACTTTGCCAGGACAGGTGATCATGTTTAAATCTCATTTCATAGAATAA